TGGCCATGGTGGCACACGCCTGTAATGCCAGTGCATGGGAGGCTGAAAAGAGAAGGATCAGTACAAGTCTGCTCTGTGTAGTGAGACCCAGTACTAAATACATTTAAAAAATTAATAGAAAATCTTGTCACTATTTGTCCTTTTCTACTCAAGGAGAACTATGAAAATATCAGAGGTAGTATCTATTAAAATCTTCTTGGAAAATCTGGGTACACCGTACATGTGGACAAAATAGAGATCAAGCCTTCAGTGCTCCAAATCTAACAGTCACGATTATTTTATCTTGAAACAGTCTTTAGTACTGGGCGTTGAACTCAGAGCTTTGTGCCTGTTAGGCGAGTAGTGTACTACTGAGCTACATTCTCAGCTCTTCAGAAATTGTGAAGCTACTGTTTCTTCAATGATGAAGAAATTCATCCGCAGTATGTTCAAGTAATAAAATACCTTGAGTCTTTCAAGATAGAAAATTTCACACAAATGCATGCACATCCTTTTTAAAGCCGTTATAATGTGTTTGCAAACAAAATTTCTTCTTTAATTCCACCGACTACAGAAGAGTTAGAGAATTTGTCCCCCCCCCTTTTTTTTTTAATGGTCTCACTACACAGTTCAGGCTGTGCTTGAACTCACTATGAAGCCCTGGGTGTCTCAGTGATCTGCCTGACTCAGCCTCCAGAGTGCTGGAATTACAGGTGTGCACCATCATGCCTGGCTTCCATCTTACTTTTAAACCAACCATGAGAGCTGCACTGTGCACAGTTTGAAAATCTCTGCCATAAAATTGGCTACTGTGTCCTCTTTCCGGCTGGAACCATGGAGGTTGCAGAAGAGAAGAAAAAGAAGGTTCCTGCTGTGCCAGAAACCCTTATGAAAAAGCGAAAACATTTCGCAGAGCTAAAGATAAAGCGCCTGAGAAAGAAGTTTGCCCAGAAGACGCTTCGCAAGGCGAGGAGGAAACTCATCTATGAAAAAGCCAGGCACTATCATAAGGAGTACAGACAGATGTACAGAACTGAGATCCGGATGGCTAGGATGGCGAGAAAAGCTGGCAACTTCTATGTCCCTGCAGAGCCCAAACTGGCATTTGTCATCCGGATCAGGGGTATCAATGGTGTGAGCCCAAAGGTCCACAAGGTGTTGCAGCTTCTTAGCCTTCGCCAAATCTTCAATGGTACCTTCGTTAAGCTCAACAAGGCTTCAATTAACATGCTGAGAATTGTGGAGCCATACATTGCATGGGGGTACCCAAACCTGAAGTCAGTGAATGAACTAATATACAAGCGTGGCTATGGCAAAATCAATAAGAAGCGAATTGCCTTGACAGATAATTCATTGATTGCTCGATCTCTTGGTAAATATGGAATCATCTGCATGGAGGATCTGATTCATGAGATCTATACCGTTGGAAAACGCTTCAAAGAGGCAAATAATTTCCTGTGACCATTCAAGTTATCATCTCCTCGAGGTGGAATGAAGAAAAAGACCACCCATTTTGTAGAAGGTAGAGATGCAGGAAATAGGGAAGACCAGATCAACAGGCTTATTAGAAGGATGAACTAAGGTATCTACCATGGTGTTTTTATGATTTGGTCAGTTAATAAAGTATCTGCTTCCAAATTGAAAAAAAAAAAAAATTGGCTACTGTGTCCCTAGGCCACTATAAATTGCTATGTTATATTAGAATGTTAATCTTTATTAATGGGTAAAACATTGAAAATATTTATAAAAAGTAATTTTTAATTTACTTATCCAAGGCAATCATTAAAGTACATTTCCCAGAGTCTGGATTTTTCAATCTTTAACAAAAGTATGCTGCAGAACCTGTGCCTCTCTTAAGACATTTCCCAGAAATCCTATCCACTAATTTCCATTTTTTCCCCCTGCGTGCTGGAGACCAAACCCAGGACCTTATATATGTGAGCTACAACCCTCACTACCTCTACTACTGAGGTACACCCTTCAGTCACCAATAACTTCTTAAAATTCCATAGCCAAAATTTAGTCACATGGCTACACTTAGCTACAAAGGACCCTTGTGTGCTGCCCTTTAGCAAGACAGTTGAAATTATTCATATTGACACAGAAAGATCAACACCACTCAATTTTACTTCTGTGCTATATGTGATTAACTTTTTGCATGGATTTGTGTTATTACCACAATAAAGATACACAACTCTATCCACCCCATCCTATTTCTTATACTGTAGTTACACCTTCCCCTACCATGACCTTGACTAATTTCCATAAATATAGTTTTGTGATTTCATTCATATTGTACAGATGGAACTACATAATATGTAATCTTCTGAAACTGGCTTCTTTCACCTGGTGTACCATTAAAATTAACTGAAGTCATTGCATTTGCTAAGTTTATTCCCTTTTTTGCTGAGTAGTACTCCATGGAATAAGTGTATGATTGTTTTATTTATTCACCTGTTGAAGGTCATTTGGAACATTTCTAGTGTTTGGCTATTATAGTTGCTATTTATGTACATGTTTTTCTGTGAACACAAATTTTCATCTATGTATAATTTTTATTTTGATATTACATACAAAACATTATTTGTTAATATTTCCTCCCCACATTAAACTATGTCTTTTTAAAATTTTGCCTAATCCACAGCAAACAGAACAGTAGTACAACGGTTTAGAACACTATCCCTTGCCTGTGTTTGAATTTCAGCTTTACCATTTAATAGTGTTGTGGCACTGAGCAAGTTACTTGACACCTCAATTTTCTCTACACCTCAATTTTCTCATCCTGGAAAACTGGGATAAACAGTCCCTACCTTCCAAGGTGTTTTAAACGTTTAAAAAAGAGTCCATACATGTTAGTTTGCTAAGGTCAGTGTCAAAACATTTTCCTATACTTAGCACCTGGGAAAGTTCACATCAGAATGTGTTCATAAATTGTTGCTTAATAAATGAGTTCACTGGCTTAAAAAATCCTTGCATAACTATTTATGTACTATTTTTTCTTCAACAGATATTTATGAACATCTTCTAAGCCCAAGAATTATTCTGGGCACTGGGGACATAGCTGGAAACCAATATTTTCATTGAGAGAAATAAAACATTGACAGACTTATTTAAAAATTTTTTTCTGCCAGAACTATCTTCAAATGAAATATTGATAATTATTTAAAAACTTTTTCTATCAGAACTATCTTTAAATATTCATTTTATGAAAGTTCCTTTTATGGCAACGAAATAGTAAAGATGACTAATATATATAGTTTTGATGACTTTCTGAAGGTCGTTAATTTACTTTTTGAATCAAAGAGCAAAACTATGATGAAATAGAAGATAGGAATTCTAGTAAGGGCGTAAGAGCTCTTTTCCTTAGAGGAGATGTTTTCAAATTAGCTATCCTTAAGAGCAGGGGTACATACTTAATTTTACTTCAAATAAGGTCGATGATTTTGCAATTCTCCCTATAAGTAATACTTGTGGACATAATTTAGGCCATATCTTCAGATGAATTGTAATGATTAAATTTTGCACTTCCTTAACTGTTGGCTGGCGTGGCTTGAAATAATCAGATTACAGGGTGGTCCATTTATTTGCTTTAAACAGTCATGCCTACGCCCTATATCTTAATTACCACAAATTAATCAATCTCACCACAAATCTGCCTGTCACCGAACAATAACTTTATATTTAACGCAGTTTAAAGTTTCGGCAGTTAAAATAACCGCTGAGTTTCACTCCTAGAACCTGCAATTTATCCAATTTAAATTTCAGTAATTCCTCCCTTGAGGACAGGTCATGTCTGAATTTCAAAAAAACTTTTCCTTATGAGTTTTCTTTTTCTTTTCTTTTTTTCTTTTTTGTGGTACCGGGGATTGAACTCATCCTTATGAGTTTTCTACTTTTAAAACTAAATAAAAAAAAAAAAAATCTTGAGACTTCACTAACAATGAATTAGTAAAACAATTAAGTCTTGGATTTCTGTCCAGAAAATTTAAAACTATAAAATCTGAAGAAATCTCAGCAACGTTTTGACTAGTGCGGAAGGAAGATATTCACGGCTGGAAACTTTCCCCACTGTCCTACTAACTCTGATACACACGGCAAAGTCAAGTCTCACGGTGATGCTACTGCGATGCCAACATTCTTATTAGGTCATGGAGTTTGCACAGGCTGTCACAGGAGAGGCGGAGGGAGGCTGCGGCGTGCGCGGGGCTGTGGCCGGGCCGAAGGGCGCGAAGGGCGGAAGACCGCGGCGCCCGACGCCCAGCTCGCGGAGGGCCGGCCGGCGTCTCCAGGGCAGGCACCGCCGCTCGGGGCCGTGGGCGGGGACAGCCGCCCATTCAAACTCCGAGCGGGCGGCGCGAGCGCGCGCGCGGCCCAGCAGGTGCTCGTCCCCTCCCGGGGGCCCGCGCTCCCGCCCCTACCTGCCCCAGGCCGGAAGTCACCTCACGGGGGGCGGCCTCGCCATTCTTGTCAGTGCGTCCACGGCGCCGAACGCCAGGAGGATCTCTCGGCCGCTGTGTTCCCGTCCCTTTTTTTTTTTTTTTGTGTGTGTGTGTGTGTGTGTGTGTGCATGTGTGTGTGTTTAATCATGCCACGAGGGAAACCGGAGCAAAGCCCGGCGGGAGAAAGCAAGAGCTGCACTAAACACACAAGCGCTCCACACGTTGCACTTTCCAGTCAGGATAGGCGCCACAAGGGCGTTAAGAGACGAGAACGCATGCGCCGGACGCTTCAGTCGCGGGGAGAAAACTGCGCATGTGCACAGCCAACAAGGAAAATAAAATCTAGGGGTTGACTGACTCTTTGGTTTCCCAAGGGCGCAGCGGCGCCGAGGCGCTTGCGCAGCGCTCACGAGGGGGTGGAGCTCTTCCGAGGGGGCCGACGGCGAGCAGCTCCGGCCTCGCGCGCCCCCTGTCGTGCTCCCGGGGTAGAGGCGGGACCCGGGAGGGGGCGGAGAGGAGGGGGAGGGGAGCGGGAGCGAGGGAGGGTTTATCGACCGGGCGATTTTGGTTAAAATATTCAAAATGGCGGACGGAGGAGCAGCGAGTCAAGATGAGAGTTCAGCCGCGGCGGCTGCAGCAGCAGGTAATCATTACAGCATTTTACATATTCATATTCATACTCAACCCAGGCTCCCGCTGCCGGCCCCCCCTCGACTTAGCATAATTTATTAGTACTCAGGATTATTATAATTAACGGCGGAGAGATGGGGGGCCAGGAAGCGCGGAGCCCCCGCCGGGCGCCGAACGGAGGGGGAAAGCGGCTCGCCGCGGCCGGGCGGAGGGGGAGACCCGGCCGAGGGGCCGTGGCCCGCGCCCGCCCC